ATCTTTTGATACGCGAAATTAACGAACGATTTGAGGACTGCCACGAGAATTCATGGATTATTAATTTAAAGAGAAGACTTTTCTTCGTTTAATTCGACGCTTTCCCCGCAGCGATCAATTATTCGTATTCGTTTCGCCGACCAGCGAGAACATTCTCGTTTAATTCCTTAACGAGAACGCGGACGTTTCGGTGGAATCTCGTTACAACGAGGAACAGGGGACGTTCTCCCGGCATTGAGGGACGTTCTGCATCGTCTCGTCGAGTCCCGAGCATTACCGTAACGTAAACGAGCCAATCAGCCGTCTTTGTGCCAGCAATCATCCTTTGATTACACGGCACTTAGCTCGAAAACAGGGTCGCGATTCTATCGGACGATCATTTTCGTCTTTGACAAAACGCCAAGGGGATCAGCTAGATCGCGTAGAAGCAGTTATCCTTGGAATAACTCGTGCGTAGACCTAACTTAGCCGCTGGCAGTGAAACGAATTCGATATAGCGCGACGCGATGCCTGACACGTCTTATCGTTTATGCATAGCTTCTGGAACCGGTGGAATCGCGGAATTGCGAGGAAAAAGGAATTCCCGATAAAATAATAATCGTGGCTATAGACGGGAAAAAGGAGGATTTTTGTGCTCGGCGGAATCGCGGTGTTCGCCATGGAAACACACGCGTCGAAACTCGAAAGTGGCCATGGGGTAAGAGTGCCTTGTACGAGGTACTGAAGAGTCCGCAGTTATAGGAGGCGAACAAACAGGGCCGCCTTTCAATCGTAATTGGAACCGCGGGAGCCTGACCAACGTCCGTGTTCAAGCACTCTTTTTCCCATAACCATCATTCTTCGAGAGTGTCTCCTGCTCTACGCGAAAGAAGAAATACAATAGGCTGTATACCCGGCCACGAAATTCTGCCGAATTTCTCCTTCGAGCAAACTTTCCGTTTGTCTCTCTACCCGGCGTAATCGACGCCGTGTCCCTTAATCATCGATCCTCGAGTTTGCCGACCTGGAACGATTTCCGGGATGGACGAAAACTCGGTTGGATCGTTATCGAAGTTTAAAAAACTGGAAGAATCTCGGAGCAACGATTATTCCTCGGCGAGAGAATATTTTGTATTCGTGTTCACGTTTAATGTAGAGAAACGCGAGTAAATCGTCGGGCTTTCGAGCCTTCTTTTTGTCTCCGGAATAACGCGCCTCGATGTCTTGAAAACGTTGTCGAGTGTTGTTAACGAAAGACGTATAGAAACGATAAGAAGTAACTGAAAGGAAGGGTATAAATAAATGCTGGTATATTCAAGGAGAAACGAGCACGTATACACCGAATCCTTTTGCTGTGTTTAACCCATGGTCTCGTAGAAATGGACTGAGCAAATACATCCTCGCGTCTTTCATCTTCCCTTTTATTCGCGTACATTTTTTCCTCGAGGGGAAAATACCACGCGAATCAGTCTTTATTCCCATTGGTCGAGCAACTTAAGAATCGACGATTCTTTCGGTTAAAGAAAAAGGGAATGGAGCCTAAAACACGCGACGAGAGAGACGGATCCGATATTCGAAACATCAAGCGGAATTGTTAGTCGCTGTAAACAGAGTCGTTCGTTTCGATCGCACCTTTTTTTTTTTTTTCTGAATGGGAAACGAGCTGGCTTCCCTCTCGTTTTTCGCGAATACGGCACTGGACGGTGCTGCTCCGCGCAGAATATTCAGATCGACAGTTATATTCACACGCGTGGTCGCACCTCAATGGATTTTGCTTTTGCCGCGATTGTTAACGGTTTCGAAGCCCTCGCGGCATCGTGGTTTTGATCCGCCACCCCCTTGTCCCAACCCCCCGCGGCCCGCGACTCGCTCTTCGGCTCTCACTGTTCTAAATCGCTTCACCGTGATCCTTCTCACTGTTTTTTTATCCGTATTTACCAATTCGTCTCGACTCGATCGACGACCGCGACTCTCTATTATCGATAATCATTCAGACTCGGCAACTTTTGCCGGATCAAGCCTCGCTTCGTCTCGCTCCCGCCAACTCGATTTACACCCACGCCCATTCACGGAAAAACTTTTTCTCCGATAATTACGACGCTTTATTCTTCCCGTCAGAACCGAGATCACGTGAGAAATAATCGACGCGCGAATTTCGGTAAACATAGTCTCGCGAAAAACTTTCTCGGAAATACCTTCTATCGGAAACCATTGGAACTTGATCTTGATCGTTCTTCGTTGCACACGGCACGAGCTTTACGATCTTCAAAGAATATTTCTCTTGTTATTCGCACCGAGATTACGCACATCGTTCGTTAGCCGATCTTGATACGCAGCGAGCGGTAATTGAACGTGTTTCTATCGCTAATCCGTGATCGCTCCCCCCGCAAGATCGGAAAGAGATATTCACCCTAAATCGAATCGCATTTGTCGAACGCGGCCAGAGGTGGTCGTATCGTGATGAAATTTCTCGTGACACGGGGGAACAAATATGGCAAATTAGCGATAACAATCAGCCGACAAGGGGCGGTGATTTCGAGGCAATTCGCATCAAATACTCCGCTCTAATTTCCATTGATTCACCTTTGTCGTCTAAATCGCGACAGATGCGATGAACCGTGCTATACTTCTGCTGTAACAAACTGTTCTACTGAAATTCGCATCGCGTTCTTGTTAATCAATTTCGAACTCGATAATCAACACCTCCGAAGAGACATCGAATACAGAGCGATGGTTATTCTTACTCGATGGAAGGAGGCTTCCGTGCAAAACATCGTTCCGTAAAGGGCCGTTGATCATCGGAATTATTACGAGCATCTTTGTTTTCGCAGCTCGATGCCACTCAATTTATCCCGTTCTCATGCATTTATTCCGCCGTTTCCGCCGCTCCGAGGCCCTTTTCCAGCGAGCACGAAGAAGACGGCCAGCCGCTTTGCTGCCCCTTGAATTAATTCTCTGCATACGTTAATCTTAATGAATTCACAAACGCGCCCCGTCGTGTCCGACTACGGGGGTACCAACGGCGAGGGTTCCGCTTACAGGTGCCAGGCACGCAAACTCGAGGCCACGAGGCGAGCCATTAAAATACCACCCTGTGTATACACCGACGCTTCTTCTCCTTGCTGCGCGTCGCATTTATGCGACGCCACGCGACGTCGCGTTGCCGAAAATTGCACGAGTACCCCCTTTTTCTTTCGTTCCACCGACGATCGATCGGTTAAATATTTATTTATTTATTTATTCGTCGTACGGCGAGCCACGTTCGCGGGATGATCGAGGGAACGCGATCGTTGGCGACTTTGGACACTGGGTATGGCGGTGGTCGGGTTCAAAAGGTCTACAGGTTACCCGCAACGAAATTATAAAGACGGGAACGCGTATAAAAGAACAGAGATCGAAGAGTAATTCAGGGAATTCGTTAATTAAGCAATGCGAAGGAAATAGGAGGTCGGCGTGCTATTTGCGATTTAAAAGGGCCGCGCGGTATATAGATGCGTGGCATCGCGTTCGTCCTGTTTTTATTCTAGATCGACGAGAATTCAGCGTGGATGATTTTGCAGGACGTGAAATATTTAGGTATAGAAAGCAGTAGATGCAGGGCCATAGAGTCGCGCGAATGCCCCGGGAAGATAAGTAGCGACGCGGTGAATAGACTAACGGGGCGCTGCAAAAGCCGGGAACGGAGAAAAGGGAGTGAAAGGGGATAGGCGGTGTCGAGGATTGGTGGTTTTATGCATCATGCATATTTACGCTCACATACTAGCTGTAGAAGATGACGACACGGGCCGGCGAGGGTTGCGCAAATTGCGAGGACCGTATTTATGCAAATGCTCGCGCATTCGCGTTGCACCTTGCGCCACTTTCCTTACCGGTGTTTCACCCAGCAAATTGACTTCGTTAGAGTCTGGTCTGAATCTTCCGATTCTATACGTTATCGGGCAGGAGAAAGGATGGGCAGAAGGAAGAAAGCCAAAAAGGAAAAGGGAGAAAGAAAACGAAGAAGGGGATGGTTGGGGAATCGTGGAGAAGAGAGGGAAGAAGAAAAATGATCGCGTCGGGAAATGAAAAATCGCGTCGCGTGATTTATTCGGATGCAAGTACGTACGCTAGCTCTCTTTGTAACGCTCGCCGGTGACTCGCGGCGCGGAAAAGCCAACGCCGGAAAAGAGAGCGCAGAGAACGCGGGAAAACGCGACTGTTAAACCGCCCCCGGGGAGAACAATCTCGATATCGCGGCGAGGGACGCGTTCTCTATACCAGGAGAAACGTTTCACATCCAATTTGTTCCTCTCGTTTCGCGGTAATCGCTCGCCAATGACTTTCTCCCCCTCGTTTCCTCGTTCTCGGAGTTCGATGCTCGTCAGGCCGTACGCTTTTCGCCAAGCGTGCACCGAGATCCTGCCACCCACGGAGCCCTTGCTTCTCGTTGCACCTCACCCGTGCTTCCCGAGGGTTATCGTCAGAGCCAACCCCCTTTGCGCAAGCCGCTTTCCTCCGACCAATCGACATCGAGCCGTCGCGAATTCCACCCCTCGACTACGAGTTAGCGCGACCAATGAGCGAGTCGCCGTGGCCACGAAACGGGGGTGGTATGGCGCTACCACCCCCAAAATGGCTGCGAAATCGCGCGAGCATTAGGCAGTCCGTTCAAAATAAACGGGCGGATTAATTGAAGCGGGGTGGCGCGGGGTTCGGTCGGTGCAACCCCAAGCCTAACTCGCGTGGTAACTCTTCCTCCACCCCCACCTCGATATCCAGCAACGTGCGCTTGTCAAGGAAGATGACGACGATACCAGGCTCGGACAGGCACATCCGGTCATCCCCCGTGATCCTCGACGACGCAGAACGACGCCGGGCGTCCACACGTTAGCATGAAACTCGACTCGTTCGTCGTAGCTGAGGTGTTCTCGCGCCGACAAACAGCTCCGGCTCTGCTGGTCCGCGCGAACCTGTTTCTCTAAACGAATCGCCGTTTTCCGTTTTCCGTGTTCCGTTCGTTTCGTTCTTGGCCAAGGTGTAATTATGCAGGAGCACAAGTCGTTTCTCATAAGGGATCTCCTGGGGGATGTCCTGTCCGAGAGGGTGCACGGTGAGTTTCGTCGCAACTATCGTTTCCTCTCTAATTGTAGAATATTCTCTCCTTAGTTTCCCTTTCTTAGTAAGATATTTTACGTCTTCGTCTTCCCGTACCTTGACGTCTGTATTTCGAAGAAAATAATTTTATTATCCGAATGGATTCCTTTTAAAAGCTATTTTTCCGCTTCTTTTTATTATTCACCTTTTTAAACGGATTATTAGAACAAAAGGAATGGCAGAATCATCGGGTCGTTCGATTTCTATCGTTTAATTTCAAAAGTCGAGGTTCGCAGCGAGCTCTAACGAGTCCTTGACGGCGATTCGAATGCAAATAATTGAAAAATCAAGATTTTTATTATGTGCGACATCGGTCGCGTGGCTTATCGCCAGGATCCTCGTTACACGGTACCCCGCGGCGCGACTCTATTATTTTTATCCAAGATTCGCAGCCCTAGGGGTGTCTAGGGTCCCGACAGGGTAGTGCCCCATTAACGAGGATCCTACAGATGGCCCGAACTGCGGAAGGATTCGTTAGCTCTCGTTAGTCCGAATTTTCATCGACGATTATCGCGTCCTGCTGTGCCCTCGCGCCTTTATTGGCCAATCAAGATCAGGCACCGACCATCCTCCTAACTGAGATCGTTTATCCTTAACCAAACCAATCGCGATCACCGTCGGCCAAGGATTTGCCAACATCGTCCAGATAATAGACTTTGTACGACGAATCTGTTCGTTGACCGATGGAAACTGCTCCACCGGTCGAACGAAATCGGCTGGCGTTTCGTACAACTCGATTCATCGACAACTGTCACGCGTCCAACTAAAGATATACCATTGCAGAAGATTCGGAGGACGATTCGGCGGTTCATTCCGACTCCGAGGACACGATCGACCCTGGAAGCAGTCCCTGCACCAGACTAGAGAGTCCTCCGCCAGCTCTGTCACCGTCTCCGGCGCCAGCAACTTCCGGCAAGTCCTGCGGCACAACCACCGGTCCTCCCAGCGGCAGGAAGCCCAGAAGAAGGCGAACAGCGTTTACACACGCTCAACTGGCTTACCTGGAGCGAAAGTTTCGGTGTCAGAAGTATCTGAGCGTGGCGGACCGGAGCGACGTAGCCGACGCGCTGTCGCTCTCGGAGACCCAGGTGAAAACTTGGTACCAGAACAGAAGGTTAATACTTGCTTCGTACCTTTCGATAACTCGTTAAGCAGCGCGTTGCTCGACGTATGTTAAGAACGTAACTTTTGGCTACAGAACGAAATGGAAGCGTCAGAACCAATTACGACTGGAACAGCTCCGACATCAAGCGACGGTGGAAAAGGAGCTGCTCGTCCGAGGAGTGGGTCTTCACCATGGCAGCATAGACGCTTACTGTCCACCTTACAACGCTCAAACCCAGACCCAGAGTCATCCGCCGCCACCGCCACCGCCTCCGGCGCCGTCGACAGCCTCCACGGCGGCGTTCCTCTCGACGGCGGCAGCCCTCTTCCGAAACGTCACTTACGTTCACGGATGTCCTCTCTAACCCGGCCTAACGCCGCGGTTTCAGGATCGTTTCTGCTTTCCGGCCGCAGGCGTCGGCAGCCCTCCTCTCTTCGAAGGACCTGCTTCGAACGATTCCGAAGCGGAGGCAACGTCGATGATGGCTCCGATTAGACCTCGACGTGCCCGTGTTCTCCACCTGGAGACCTCACGATTCCTGGCGGTCGCTGATCCTTTACGTGCAATACTTCACCGTGCGTTCCGCTATATCGCTCGTGCACGCGAGAAGGCTCTCGCGATCGTTCGTTCAGCTCTATCCTGGTACAAAAGATCACGCGCTGCCTCTATCACAGTGAAGTGCATGAACTGAGAAACGATGTAAAACGCGAACAAACAGAGACTCGTTCACGGTGGGGGCGTTCTTCGCGATCCACAGGCTGGGTTCCGTCTTCGAGTTGTTTCTCGCGTTTATTCCCGCATGCGAGACAGTGTACATATGTAATTAAGAAGTTGACCGGTAGCCGTAGTCGGTTCGTTTTCGTTTACGACGAAGAAAAGGGAAATGAACGGAGGAGATGATCGAAAATCGTGTTCCGATAATCTGTTTCCGTCATTCGCGACTTTCCGCTTGTTCCAGTTTAGCTAAGGGCAAACGCGTAATACCCACTTCTGGAAGGATGTTCCTTTTATTCGGAACAAACGAAGTCTAGTCGAGTCGATAGCGACTCGAGTTCGTAGATGTGTCATAGAGTCTTAGATAACTGTAATCGGGAAGGGAATGACGTTCATGCGACGCGTGCAACGATCTCGACCAGGAGCGCGGTCGCTTTCCATCGTTCCCCGCGATCACTGGCCAATTTTCATTTAGGGATCTAGTTCGCTAACGCTCACCGCTGGTAATCGATTACTTTCTCCAGTTAGCCGACGACTTTTCGTCAACCGAAGAATTCTTGTAGATAAATAAATTATTATCGAACAGAAACACCGTCTTGTGATTGCTCCTTTCACGCGCTACGCAACGCGACCCGATCCTCCGCTTCTTTCGCGTCGCGATACCAACCCCGAATTTCTCTTCAGTCCTCTCGAAAGTCCATCTCGTTTCGTTTTCCTCTTCTTGTTCGTTAAACGTCGCATTTACCGTGACGGTGGAGAATGAATCGATGCCGGGCATTCATTTTCGTCCATCGCGAATGATACGGCGAACGATACGGGAAGAAAATGGAAGGACGCAGGCGGGCGAGGGCGAAAATCGGGCTATTTTATTTGGACAAACGGTAAGAGTAACGAGCCCGTATCGGGAAGACCAATTCGCGCGTGACAATAGGCACGTGGCCAGAAACAGCGATTCGCAAGCCCCGGCAGAAAGTAATTGGCTGAAACCGATACAAGTCGAGTGCCGGTGCCACTCGTGGCTGGAATTGGCTGGCGGATTTAATTGAACGGAATCGACGAGAAGGAGAGAGAGAGAGTCCGCGTGTGCACGTATGCATAAGAGAAAGAGAGGGTGGAAGAAGAAGAGAAAGACCGGAGAGAAACGATCGCGATTGTCGCGATGATTTTTTCGCGAGCCGGTCGCGAACTCGGCCGTTAATTGGAGAAAAAGAGAGAAGAACGAGAAGAATCGGGAAGAGGAGAACGAAAAGTGTTCGAGCTCTTTACACGGATGATTAGACTACATTAAGCGAATTTCGAACGATCTCGCGTAACGACGTCGTTAATCACTTTCCTTTGCAAACCGTTCGCCAGCGTGGCCGAAAGTTTCTCGGAAAATTGACTCGCTCTCGAAAAGCTCCTCTTTGATTTCCTCGAAATCGAACGCGAATTCTAAGAAGCCGCGGCGCGTTCCAGGAAGATGAATGGGGCCGTAATTGGAGGAAAAGGCGCGTGGAAAGTTAAAAGGACCCGTGGAGAACACGAGGATGTACCGTTTGACAAGAAGAAATTGTTGCACGACGGCGACGAGTCGCGCAGCACAGGTCGTCAACTTTCTCCGCGGGTTGCGCCGCGAAAGCGATGAAGAAAGAGGGAGGCCAGAATGGGAGAGACGCTCCTTTCGGGTTCATTCGGGATGAAATAAACCAGGAGACTCTTCGCGTCTGGTCCTCGAATAATAAAAAAAACAGAGATACATCTTGCCGAGCGTGAAATCACGCGAGTGAAGGAAGAATTCTTGCGACACTCGTCCCCTTTTTATCTCTCTTTGCTTCTTTCCGTTCGCGGCGGGGCCGTCGTGCCGCGACGGTACCCTAGAATTCCTCACGCGTAATTACTTCGCTATAATGAATCGCATATTATTCGTAATAATTTCCTGCCACGCGTATTGTCCCGACCATCTGTCTCGCTTCTCTCACTCTACGCTTCTAATTTCGTCTTTTAACGCGTTCTTGAGTCGTCTCGCGTATCGCGATCGTTGTTGGGTCTTCGTCAAAAGGTAACAAAGATCCGCGAGTTCCTCGCGAGTGGAAATTTTTTCAAACGACGCTAACGAGTTTTAACCTGACTGCCCGATCGGAAACGTCGCGGAAAGGGATAATTGGTTCGGCAAACAACATCGACGGAATTACCGTGTCACGCAGAGACATGTCCTCATAGATTCGAGTGCGTTCGACTCGTGTAAACGGCTGTAATTTAGTCATCGATGACTGGCTCGATCGAAATCCATTGTACATCGAAACGATCGCTGCGAAGGATCCCCGGTGGATCCCAAGCACAGAGAGTCTCACACGACTCGAACGAGATATCCTGGGATAGAAGAGAAGTGGCGTCGCGTGCACTCGGCCACGTGCGTATTGTCGTTGAGCGAATAACCGTGGACGCGCGTGCATACGTGCGTAAGTCGTGTTGGCACTTGGACACGCGCTTCTTATCCCTCTTCGCTTTGCGATGCGCGTCTCCCTCTTACCCTCCGAGAATCGCGTCGTTAAATACTTCGCGGGGGGCCTTGCGTGCGCCTTCGCAACCGTCGATAGGTACGATCCTTTGAAACCGACGCTCCGGGATTCCCCCCCGGAAACAAACGGATCGTTTTCGCGCGCCTGTCGCATCACGCGTTCGTCCCGATTGGTAATTAACGACCACGTTCTCGATTAACGTTCGACCACGTCTTTTTAGTCGCTCGCGTCCTCTTTCTAGTCGCCATTTTGAAGAAGAGCGTACAGGCTGCTTTTCGAAAAGAGAAGAACGGAGAAAGAGAGAACGTCGCGTGTCTTCTAGGTGTCTTCCTCTGTTACTCGCGGTCGTGGATATCATGGGGGATAGGGGAAAGATGTATCTGAAAAGGCGAGGCCTCGTTTAAAATGAAAGTAAGGGGTAGACGCGGATGGCGATGATCAAGGACGAGGAAATGGGAGAGACGAACGACGAAAGGAGAAACGAGAGGACGAAGAAAGTGGACGAGCCTGGGCATTTCTAATTCTTTAGAAAAAAAGCGGCGGAGTAATTGCTGGAGAAACCGTGGGAGAGAGAGAGAGAGAGAGAGTGGAAGAGAGCGAGGTAGCTGAGGATGGCTGACTGCACGGGAGTAGCGAAAAGAGATGGTGGCTCCGTTGGTGGAAGGCAAAAAGCAGAAGTAAAAGGAGTCGGCTGTGACGAGGCTGACTGCGGGGAGAAAGATGGAATCGCGAGAAGCAAGGATGAGGAGGAACAGCGAGGCGGATAGAGGAAGAGAGAGGCAAAGGTAGAGGGTGCAAGGTGTGCAGGGTGCAGGGTGCAGAGTGCACGCGGGCAGGGCCGAGTGTAACGAAGCTCCGACTTTTTAATTGGAATATATTCAGAAAGCGGAACGCCTTTTCATCGCGGGACTCGATGCACTGAATACGGCCTGAATCAACGCGGAATCAACCGCGCTTGCAACGAGCCTGCTGTGCACCTGCAAATCGGGCCGCGTCTCTGCATTTATACGTAACGGATGCATAGCGGCTGCATAAAATAACCCGCGAAAACGCGGATCCGCCTCTCTTCTCCCGACCAATCTTCTCCCTTTTCTCCCGTTTTCTGCCACGGCTCGCCGATATCCACGGACGTATAATCAACCTGAAAATACGATAAGCGCGAGCAGATCGAAGAATCGCGGGGAGATTCGTTCTCATCCTGCTCTACTCGTTTCATCTACGCGGTCTTTTATCCTTCGATGACAAAACATCGTTTCATCCTCCGTGTCTTATGTCTTCGAGGAACTCACGCTGCAAGATTGTACGAAGTGAAAGCGATATTATTCGAAAAGGTGACGACCGACGATCGCCAAAGTAATTCGACGCGTACGATACGGTGATATATATTTCGTTTCATCGCGGAAACAAAGTAGATAAACGTGATGGAAGGTTATGTCGCTTTCGGTACATTTATTCCAGCGGAGGGGTCACAACACCTACTCACCACGTAAAGGTAGAGACTGTGGCAGCTTCAGCTTAATGGGCTGTTTGCTTGCAAATTGTGGTATCGCTAAAGGGCAACAAACAATTCACGACTCGTTTTAACTACCACATTTCAATTCCAAGAAGCCTCGAGTCCCTCTGGCGAGTGTTACATTTACATAATTGTCTCTTGCTCTGTTTCTCATTCGTAAAACCGCGCGTCCCCATCCACTAGCGCTTATTACCAGCTTCGACTTCTTATTTTCATCATTTGTTTCTTTCCGGCGATAATTTGGCACGTTTGGAAATATCCCATATTTCGTTTATTTGGAAATTGTATTTGACATTTCATCAATTGAATTTGATGTAGAAAACATCGAAACAATCTGGTTTTCTTTGTTCAAATACGCAAACATTCGTTTTCGTTGATAATTTCGATTAAAGTAGCATAATACTCAACTTATTTATGTTTGAAAAAAAAATGCCCCGGGTGAGGATCGAACTCACGACCTTAAGATTATGAGACTTACGCGCTGCCTACTGCGCTACCGAGGCTACGGTAAACCCTTCTTTTATCAAGTATTTACTGATAATATCTGTTTAATTATATTAAAATTATATTAAATAAATCTTATCGTAAATTTTCATAATTATATTTTGAAAGTTATAATCTTTAGAAATATCTGTAGAAGGAATATTCGTATATATCCAATGCGTATTTTAAAACAGAATTTGTGACTATGCAACCGAGATGTCGCCACGTAATGGACATTAACATTTAGGGTTTTTAAGCTAGATCCTTTTAATATTGGTTATGATACGCCGCTACGATCGTTAAATTATAAAGGACAGAAAGGGTCTGAATGTAAACTGTCAAAGTTACGTTTCCTTCGCTTCTTCTAGAATTTTTATATCAGCACAGGATAAGTCGACATAGTATAATATGACAGACTCCGAAAGTTTAAGAGAAGCAATCGCACAGTACGAACAGCAGGTATAAATTATAATTTTATGGATATTCTACAAGGAAATAATATAACCTTTCGAGTAACTCCACTCGTCTACTTAATTTTTAATTAACGGAACACGCTTAATTTTTGTATTCTAACATTTTTTTGCCATATTAGCTAGCTCAAGTTCAAGCGACCTTATCCGTGACAACTCAAGAAGCGGATAGGGAGAATTTATTAAGTTTACAGTCAGACATACAAGAACTGATTACCTTAACAAAAGAAAGCTTGCAAGGTGTCGAAACTTATAGCGAAGATTTAGATGACGATGAGGATGACGACACCGATAATGTTAGAGATGATCCCTTGGCAATAGAATATGCCCTGTTCAAGGTAATTGTGTTTTCAGTGAGAAAATTATTAAAAAAAAAAAAAAATAGAACGTAAGAGAGTCAAAAAAATAACCCTATGTCGTTTTCTTGAATGTAAATTTGTTAGGCAGAACTGGAGAAAACCTTGAATGATTCTAAGAATAAAGAGCAGGATAAACAAGATGATGGAGCTTCGAATAATATAGAAGTCAGTATGCAAGTATTCTGTATGGCATAGAAATGACACAATTATACGGTGCAAGTTCATCTTGTAGGATGAGTTGAGGCAGCTTAAAGGCATGAAATGTAGAGCTCCCCATGGTAGCAGTTGGAGAGGCATTAGTTATCATAATGCTATGATATGCTCTGTTTATCAGAATGACAACACAGAGATAAAAAATATGCAAGATATAAAGGTAAGAAAGGAATTAATTATAATTAGATTTAAGTTAATTGCTAATTCAAATGTATCTTTCTGAAACAACAACAGGAAACAGATAACTTTTTTTATCTATGTTTTATGTAATTCTAAAGATTCAAGTATAAACTATCATTTAGGTCAGGGTACTTTTTCTAAATCCAACACACAAAGAAATGCTTCCATGTCCTTATTATTTGGATGGAAAATGTAAATTTTCTGATAAAGATTGCAGATTTTCACATGGAGAATTAGTACCATTATCTAGCATACAAGAATATAGGTAAATGAATCTGTTGATACTGAGTAATGAATGTGCATGCAAAAATAAAAAATGTAACCTCTTTACAGAGAACCTGATTTTCAAAGTATAAAAATGGGTAGTAGAGTACTAGCAAGGCAAAAAAATCAATTATGGCACAGATGTATCGTACTAAAACTGCCAGAGAAAGAAGATGATGTATTCCGAATTAAATTTGAAGCAAATGGTAATATTATAGAAGTTTTTCTGCAGGATCTTTTACCCCTTGGTATGTATTTTCTGAAACACTTTTGCAATTTTTTCTTCCAACTCAATTTGTTATATTCATTTCACGCTATTATCATAGGTGACGCAGATTTGGAAATGTCAGATACGTCGGAAGAAAGTGATAGCGAAAGTGATTTAACGGAATATTCTAGAGAAGAAATAATTCATAAATCTCTTCTCACGGTAGAAAGTAACACACCGCTAGGAAATTGGGAAAAACACACGCGCGGCATTGGAAGTAAATTAATGGCTCAGATGGGATATGTAGTGGGCACTGGCCTTGGAAAACGTTCAGATGGCAGAGTAGAACCAGTAGAAGCAACAGTGTTGCCAGCTGGTAAATCTTTGGGTATGTATATTTGTACATGATTAGCTAAGTATATGAGTACTTTGATTACAAAAATTTGTATTTGTAGATCATTGTATGAAATTACGAGAAAATGCGGGTGGAGATAAAAATCTATTTTCTGTAGAATGTAAACTGCGAAAACAGCGACAGAAACTGGAACAGCAAAGAGAAAAACAGTACCAAAGAGAAAAAGAGAGAGAAGAAAATAATGTGTTTAATTTCATAAATGCAACCTTAGGTGATAAACGTATGTTTAAAAAAGTGTTCTTATATTATATATCATTTCTTATCATATATTGTCATATATTGAATATCATATCTTAATGATTTTATTGAATCTCTGAATAATTCTTTGCAGCTAAATCTGAAATGCAAAGAAATATTTCAAAAAATAAAAATAATCTTAAAACAGAATCAAATCGGCAATTAAACGTAGCACGTTTTCAAATTGGAGAAAATATTTTAAGACTAGAAAGAGAATCGACAAAATTAAAAGAATCATTGGCAAGGCATACAAAGGGAAGTGTTCATTATAACAACATCATAATGAAGTATAATGATACACAAAAAGAGTTAATTAGTTTAAAAGCATCTGACAGAAGTATTGCTGCTGAGCAAGATCAACGAAAGAACAGAGCCAAATTATCAATATTTTGATGTACATATATATTTACAATTTTAACTTTCTACAAGAAATTAGCTTATATACGATATCTATTAATATATGTAAAAAAATATAAATAAATAAACCTTATAACAGTATTTTTGTTGCATTAATGACCCAAGTTTTGCATATTATAAACAGTTTACGATATTGCGTAGTTATAGTTTACGTGTGATCTATACTGTACACAAAATTACCTCAATAGATCAGCATGGCGACATCCAATGACAAGTGTGATATCTTTTTATCATTGAGATAATTATTATATTCAAATAGTATTCATTTTTATTTAAGTTTTTCCATTCATAAGTATATTTTAAAATTAGTCTTATTCACAGGATTGAAAATTGCGAAGTGTGCAATGCAAGTAAAGCGAAATACACGTGTCCAAAGTGTGAGGTTAGAACTTGTTGTCTTCAATGTGTAAACATTCATAAAAAAGAATTAAATTGTGACGGTATTCGAGATAGAACAAAATTTATACCATTAAAATCATTTACGGATTTGGATGTTCTAAGCGGTAAGTTGAATAAATTATATAAATTTATGTCAAAAATGTTTAACAATTGTTATTTTGTAGATTATAGGCTTCTTGAACAAGTGGGTAGAACAGTTGAGCAACTGAAAAGAGATCCATTTAAAAGATGTACACGTCAAATCAGTTTACCGATGGTTTGTTCAAGTATTTGTCTTATTTCTTTTATAACATAATATATAATGTTATGCCAAAAACATTATTTTTGTAGCACCTGCATAAATTAAAAACAGCTGCATTTAAAAGGAAAGTTGTTTTGCAATTTATGCCACAACATTTTAGTAAACACAAAAATAATACGACATATTTAAATTGGAAAAGTAATGAATTATATTGGAGAATAGAATGGATTTTTCCTCAAGCAGAATGTACAAAATGGATTACAGAAAGGTAATAACTCTCTTTATATTCATAATGTACATTATAGGTAATTTCATTAATAATAACATGTTATATTAATTGCAGAGTTTTAGAATCAACAAGATTATCATTACTTCTAGAGGAAATTTTGGATCCTATTAAATCAGTAGAAAATAAAAGTGACATAGAGGAATTAAATTTAAGAATGTGCCTAAATGAGAAATTACAATTTTATCAGGCAGCTGGTTTATCTGGAGTAAAAGTTCTATTAAAAGCAGAAAAAGTTGTAAAATCAGATTTAAAGTATGTATATTTAATTCTGTGTTTTAATACAACTTACTGCTGTAAATATAACTTACTGAACTCTTAATGCTTAGGTTCTATGAATTGGACATTACACTCTCATTAAAAGAAAATTTAGAAAATAAAGTTATAATCGAATTTCCAGTAATATATGTAACTTTAAAGGATCATTCATATATGTATGAAATTGTAGATACCGGTATGTTCTCTATATGTAATTACTATTGTTTTTTAAATTATAATTAATTTTATAATATATTAAGTAATATTTCAGATGATGAAGATATAAGTAATACAAAATACAGCGATAATAATAGCATTGGATCAAGAAGGAAAAAAAGAATATACAATGGAACAGTGAAAGAAAAAAAGAATTTACCTGTGAATTATTTCTTTAATTCTGAATTTTCAGAATCTGAGGAGGAAAAATTAATTGATGATCGAAAAAACGAATGTTCGTCGAGTTTTAATATACCTAGTTATGATGAATTAGTCAAAATGGAACAATAAGATGACTCATGTTATACATGTTAAAAAATTTCTAAGTAAATCAAGATGGTTATCCTTAATTTAAACGAATATACAAATTTTATTTTATTTTTATTGTAAATACAATATTTCAGTAGACTGTTACAACTGAATCACGTATAAATAGAATATGAATGACAATACAAGTCAACTTCATTGATTCCCGACCCGAAAAAATAAATACATAAACATTTGTATATCAGAGTATAATACAATCACAGGAATAAATACAAGAAATTTGTTTTAAACGAGAAGTCTTCACAATTTTGTAAATTATATGAAATAACATATAGATAATAAAATATAGCCTTAAATATGATTAGAACAATAATTTTCATGATTTATGAATAAAACAGTAGAATTAGCATAATCCATCAATATAAGAATATCCATGGCTGTATATATTGTCTTACTTTTGATAAAACTGTTAGTATTATTTTTTACTAAAGTGAAATAAACATGGTCATACATTATACTAATTCTGTACACAATTATTATAATTTATTGTGTGGCAGTATACGAAAAAATATACGGTATTAGTATCATATTCCTTGTGACTAGCTTTTCTCTGAATACAACATATGTACATTATTTCCAATTTTAAATAAAGTTAAAATTTAAATACACCATATGGAAAGATAAATCCACAGAAACAATATTTAATAATTGTGAAAAAACTATATAGGTGAAAAATATTAAGTCTTTACACAATAATAACCAATTTATCAAATAAATTAAAGAACTAAAGAATAAAATAATATAATAGAAAGACCAAAAACGCAACAAGTCCAGCCACAACCTTTACATACATAGACTTTCTATTTAAATGAGTTGCATCCTTTTTATATTTTTGTGATAACATAGACAAATTTTGTGTCTTCGTATCCAACTCTGCAAAATAAATGATAGTTTAATAGAAGGTATTTAAATAAGAGAATATATTTAAATATATACTACTATATATACAATTATTACCTGAAAGAACTGTACCCCTTTGTAAAACATCATCTATATTTTGAACCATGATTCTTTGCACATCCTGTAGTTGACTGTTAAGTGCATTCATATTTCTTCTTGATCTACCATCCAAAAAAACTTTTTTGGCTTTCTGAATATATGTATCTAAGAAAATAAAAAACATATGTAATAAATTTTCAAATATATTTTGTAAACTGAGTGATATAAAGTAGAAAAAAGGCACATACCAAATTCAATAAAGCTATAGGGCCTAGTAACTGTATTAACACGTTTGCCATATAAAGAATGAAATTCTTGTGCTATGTCCTCAAGATAACTATATGTAATCCGTTTACTATAGTTTCTTTCACATAATACCAAATAACATACATCATGTTCAATTAAATAACTGTGGATTAACACAATTGATAATTTATTGTTACAAAATTTATAAACTATAACAGGAAAAAACTTACTGGAATAAATATGGACCTGTTTCTATAGTACATCTAGTTGGAGATTGGGGCCCCAATTTTCTAAATAACAATTTTGCCTGATTCTGATATTCTAAAATACTCCTTTCACTCTAAAAATAATTAATGAAACATTTATAGTTAATTAATAAATTCATACAACACAAACTAAAAATGTTAACAATTTTACAATATAATTATTACAAAATTAAAGAAAAATATACCAAATAGAAATAATTAAAACTATTTTTAAATAAATAAAAATTTTATAGTCACATACTTTGATAAGCAACAGTAGTATATTTCAATATACCATTATAATCATTTCAACATAAATTAATTATAAATCATGTAGTTATGTACAAGAAGCATCATATAAAAAAAATTGTTATATAAAATGATAAAAATTATATGAGGAAAATTTCAAATTCAACCATAAATTGACATTTCATCATAACAGATTTCTAACCTGTTCATCTTCTTGCATGGTAGCTGCCAATGGCAAACCATCTACTACCCTTGCAATCATTGTTAATAACACCATTTTGATAGAGATTAATTAATCTTTTCACCGAAAGTGTAGAAAAAAATATTTAAATTTTTGTGAAATAGTCGACACTTTACCACCTGCAATCCATTTACGCGGAACTGGCCACGGTGTGACCAACTCGTCAAATACCCACTCTTGGCATACCACGTCAGTCACCGTGGAGCATTTCGAAGCTTCCATTGAATACATTACAACTATGTTTTTCATCGTTACTAATCACTTGCATATTCTGCACTAATTTAATTACTGCTATTTAAAGTATTAGAACATCACACATGTCTAATTTTGTATATTAGAAATAAGACAGTGCAACAAAATAGATTAAGAAAAAAAAAATATCAAATTGTAAAATATCCGTTTACCCACTTCATATTAGATAAGAGTTTCTTATCACATCTAAATATTCTGAAATTTTTTTACTCATCTATACAGTCACTTATATTAATTTTATTCGTTAGGTATTATGTAAAAATCTATTCAGTTTTAATATTTTTGTGATTTAGCAAAAAATTTAAAATGACATTGCAATGCCATCTAACGAGATTTCAGTGGAGATCTTTTTGACGTTTGAGATCAACGCGTCCGCGCTGTGCGCGTCTATGGTTCTGCTCGCGTGGAAAGTCAACGAGAAAAATTCGTGACGTGCTTAACCCACATCTCTTTCATAGTATTCGTAAAATGTCCGCATTTTTGTGACTTTTTCTTTTGGGCCTGTAAAGATTTGATTTATTTTGATAAACGATCGAATTTGCTAAAGTAACGATTCGAATGTTTTGTGGGAAAAAATAATGCTTATACTTGCGTATGGACACCAGTGCCAGACACGATAGTTAGGTGAGTGAACGTACAAGAGGTCCCTGAACGCAAAGTTGGATATCACAGCTGGTATTCTAACTTTCGATACGACGTTTTCAATTTCTTGCCTTTTGACTTTCTCTTATCTGCCAATCGCGTTATTTGCACGTAAAACCTGCTCCCTCATGATTTTTGTTATATAATTACAATAATTTTGAGTTTTGTCATACGGAAGTTTCAAGAAATTTTTCAGTTCAGTGTTAACAGATTTTATATTTTTGTATAAACTTTGAATCGATTTCTTGATTTATTTTTACTTTATGGGATATTACTTTTCCAGTGAAAAGTGTTATTAAAGCAGTGAAAAATAGATATCTAATGACCTATATATGCTCTCTGTAGTGAAAGTAGTTTTCTCTGTATTGTATTGATGTATTGATACTTTTTAGATATATTTTAAATGCTTGTTAAAAATGTTAAATATTAATGAATATTTATATTAGATATAGATAATTTTATAAGACAATAATAACAAAATTCTTATTTATGATTCATTGTATTTCTTTACACATTAATTATATTAATATTTTATTGTGTGATTTAATATATAAATAATTTCATATTTTACAGGTTTTATACAAATAAAAGATAAGCATTACTGTCCTAAAGGCACTATGAGTGTAAGTAGAATGTTTAAATGCTATATAAAGTTAAATAAAATTTAACTTATATATTAACATCTAAAATATATTTGTAGAATCCTTATAGAGCCAGACCAACTAGGTCTAGAGTAGATCACAGTTTAGGATATGGAGCTCATAATCAAAATGTATGGAATCCAATGTCTAGAGTATCATCCGAGATATCATCAAATGAATCCAGTCAGCATCAGCCGCCTCTTCTAAATCAGCCAAAACAATCAAGTGATCCTTGGAATAATTCATGGAATTGGGACTTTGACAAACAAACAGATAATCAACAACAGCAACCATTACAACAAGAACAACAGCAACAACATTATATACCGTCATATAGTAATCAAGGACAGTTGATATCTAATTCTATTCAAGATCATTATTATCAAAATGTTAATGGTAACAAGTCTGATTTCCTTAATCAGAATTCGATGTCAGACAAAAGTACACAAGGAACAGTTGCTAATAGACCACCAATTCCTAATCATATAGACTCTTTTACATCGTATTCAAATTATAATCAGTATCAACAATATCCACCACAACCTAGAACAAATTCTACGAAATCCGGATCTATGAATTTTGATCAAACTCAATGGACAAGTGACCAACAATTACAAAATGTTCCATACCCACAACAACAGTTAGGTATACAAAATCAGAAAGATCAAGCATCACGTCCTGCTTTAGTTGGTAGTAATTGCAATTGGATTAAATCTGATCAAACAAATGTAATGACACCACAAAATTGGCAAAATCAGTGTACTTCACTGGGTCATTGGCAAGATCAAAAAGTAGATAAAGAGATACAGAATTTTGATGATGTGGGTAATAAGTATACACAACCAGTGCAACAAACTAGATCAAATCAGCACCCTCTGTCTTCTGCAGATAACAAAAAACATTCTGTAAATGATGCAAATGATGCAAATAATTGGTCTGAACAAGTTAACATGTCAACTTCTCAATGGAACACTCAAAATCGTGTATCTGCATTATCTAATCAAAGCCAGCAAGTAGCGCAAGGTTATAACACTAATGATGAATTCAATTCTTGGTCTCAAACAGCAAATACCGAAATTTCACAGACATGGAAGAAATTAAATGATAATAATACAACTCAGTGGTTACAAGAACAGCAGGAAAATAATAATTTAGGAGAAGAAAGTGTTAAACAAGAAGTCACTGGTATAGCAGCAACAAATGATTGGCAACAGAATCGTCCATTGCCAATCCAACATATTTCACCTAATGTTATACCAGCAACAGATCCTAATGTAGAACATGAAGAGAGAAAAAGATCAATACCTCCATTACTTCCAAATTCTGCAAACTCTAAAGATTCTAATATACATACAAAAACAAGCATTGCTAAATCACATTTATCTGATTCTCGACTTAATATGACTGGCACTCCTGAAACTATATCAACTGTTGCAAGTTCTGAAAATATTTCTATGCAAGAAAATAATGATTTTAATTTAGTGAATGATCCAACAGAATGGGGTAAAAATAATTCAACAGAAGAATTGCCTACAAAATTAGAACAGTTGAATCTTAGTAGTAAGATAAATAAAAATGTAGAAAGTCAAACTGAGTCAGAAGAAGTACAACCTGTTATACCTGAAGATGGCTGGGGTCAAAATGTGACTTTCAATAATAATGCTACACCTGATAATATACCAGGATTGCCTTTAGATTGTGCTGTACTTGGTACGGAAGGTACTCATCCTAACGAAAATCAAAATGTTATTAGTCAAGAACATTCAGCACTTAGTACATATCAAATGACAAATATTAAGCCTACAGATAATATAGCACAAAGTGGGTATGATCAGTGGTACAGTCAAGATACGTTGCCACATTCTTCAGAAAATACATGGTATTCAAAAGATAATGTTCGTCCGCCTAAAGAATGGAGTATAGAACAAAATGTTGAAAATTATGAAAATATCCAACAACCTTCAGAATTTGTTAATTTAGAAGTAGTTGCACCATCATTACAAGAACGAGATATATATGGTTCAAGAGATTCTATAAATAAGGAAACTTTAGATAATGATCCTAAACCAGTTTTAAATCCTGTCAAGGAAGTATCAAATACGCGTGATTTTCGACAAGAAGTAAATAATATTGAAGTACTTTCTGCGCAGCAGAATACACGATCTCATTCTCTTCTTCAAGCAGAACAGGTATATGAAAGTGATAAATCTACTCCCTTTTTGCAATAAAAATAAATGAAAATTATTTTACAGGTACCAGATAATTATGAATTTGCATCAAACGATAGAAATACTTTTTTGGAAACCGGAGAATTAACCGATTCTCATCAAGAACATGAACCAACTCCTCCAAGTCAAGATGATGAAAATGACGAAGTGCCTAATGATATACCCTTTTTACGTGAGGTACCCGGACAATCAAGCTCGATAGATCCACGTAGAAATGATCCAACAGGACAAGAACAATATGTTCAATCTGGTCAAAGGTTGTCTGATCCAAGAAGAAATGACCCTTCTGGTCAAGAGCAAGGTCTTCAATTAAGAAATATATCTGAAAGATCAGAACGACGCGATGTTCCTTCTGGACAAGAGAGAAATGTTCCTTTACTTTCACGATCAGATTCTGATACGATGGAACGTCGAAACGATCCGTCTGGTAGAGAACGATCTTTGCCTCCGCAACAATCACGAAATGATCCATCTGGAGAGGAAAGATATCAGTCTCAACCTCAAATTATGTTGGAACCAAGTGAAACACGGGAAATACCCGGAAGAGGTAATGAATCAGAAGATTCTGTTCAGCAAACAGATGAAAATCTTAGACAAATACCAGGTGGTGCATCTCCAAATGATGTTACTCAATCTTCAGATGATAGACCTAATGGAAGAATAGTTACAGGTTCTCAAGAAGTTTCTTCTATAGGCTGTGAGGAAAAGCTTTATATTTACGTAAATTAAATATTTTTTTTTACTTATCATTAAATTGTTGAATGTAATTTTAGCTACGATACAAGATCAAACTAGTGATTCAAGAAATAAACGCGAGGAAGCTGTTGGTGCATCGATGCGTGAGAGTCAAGGAATGTCTAGTTCTTCGAATCGTAGAGATTCGTATGAGGATGACGATGATGAGGGTTCCGGACATAGTAGAGATGATAGTAGAGAAAGACGTCGTGATAGCAGTTCAGAACGTCGAAGATACGAATATGAACGAAAAAGCGCGTAGTTAGTAAATTTATATTAATTGAACTCTGAATTTTAGAAGTTGCTTAACAATCTAAAATTTCATATTGACTCACTTGCAGTTATGATCGTGATCGAGAATATGATGACGATTATTATTACGATCGTCGTCGTGGTGGAGAAAATGATCGAACATATAATATACGCGATGAATTCGATCGTCGAGAAATTCCTTATCGCGAAGATGATCGTAAGCATCATAGCCGAGATGATCTAGATAGACACGCGAGAGAAGAGATCGATAGAAGAAGCAGAGCTAAAGAAGATTTAGACGATTTAGGTATTAGAAGAAGACCCGACGATCGCAGAAAAGACAGAGCTGACGATGGGATGCGTCGCAGAGAAAGAGACATCAGAGACTACGATTTACGATATTCACGAGATCGCGATTATCTTGATCGTGATCGACGAAGAGATGATAGACGACCAAGACGATATGATGATTATGATATAAGAGATCCATATAGAAGAGAATATTATGATGATCCTTATAGTAGAGGGTATATATTTTTGCAGTGTAGAATTGCTATTTTAATATGATGATGTTTTACATTTCTTCTTTTTTCTTTCAGATCTAGACCATCCAGTAGATCTTCTTATAACGATAGAGATCGAGAATACTACATGCGAACGAGAGATCCTTATTATCCTTATAACGGTATGTTTAATTAAATAAATTTTTATTTCAAATGATAATTTGAATTATTTTGCGTTTTAGGATATTCCGGATACGATTACGGCGTTCATTATGCCAATAACTATTATGCATATATTGAAAATTTACGACGTACAAATCCTGCTGCTTATTCGGAATGGTATCATAAATATTATGCTAACCAACATCAACAACAACACATTTCTCGTGGTGTTGTTAATTATCCAGAAGACAGAGCTAGTGTTCATTCTGGCCGTAGTTCCTGTGACGAGAGGTAAGCGTTAGGAAAGTTAAACCAGCGATCAAATCTGAATATTCTAGTTCGATTTTTCTATAGATCTTATAATATCGATTATGTGTTAGATTTTTTACAAATTCAAGTGCATGCTTCTACTCGCCAAACAAAGCATTATATGTTCCGTATTTCGGGTATCCTGGATGGACCAGGAGTCCTCAACGAAGACAGAATTCAAGTTATCAAAATTTAAATAGGTGAGACCGAGACAATTCTCTCGGTTCGGCACTTGTTTGAAATATTAAAAATATCAAATCTCCTGTTATTGAAAGTAATTTAGTTATAATATTTTCATGGCATTTAAAGTATCTTTTTACTTAGATAGATATTAGAATTCTTCACTAGAGCTAGTATTCGATGGAAGTTAAAATATATCAAACTATTTTCATGTATCAATAGATCTTACCAAAAACAATCTATCCTTCTTCTTTGTAGATGACCTGCTTCTCCTATTATTTATTATTTATTATTTATTATATTATATAAATATCAACTTAAATGTAACTATAAAAATCATATTTTTCAGAACAACTGGTGACAAACGAACTTTAGGTGATATATCTATGCTTGAAGATTCGACAGTTGTCTCTGCCCGAATGACGCCAACTAAATTTTCCAGTTCACACGTATATGGTACAGTTTCAAATCAATATATAGTTAAAGTTAATATAAGTTAATATAATCTACTTAAGAAAATTATAAGAAATTCAATAAAAATATTTCATGTTTAGGATGTTTTTCTATCGGATCTTTAATACACGTACATCCAGCTTACCCATCTGATGGTGACAGAGCTAAAGTAGACATTTTTAGATTAGATAATCTACTTTTACATGATCCTGTAGCGCGTGACTTACGAACTTATCCTGGTCCCCTAATTAAGCAAGTGTAATCAATATATTTATAATCTAAGCATGCGTATTTCATTTATCAAACATTTAATTTATTTTTGTTGAATATTAATTCTTATATTATATTATATTGGATAATGTACAAATGTACATATAATGTATGTATGCTTAGATAGTAATTATTTTCTTATTTAACTTTATATTTATAATACGTTTTGAATCATTCTTTAAATAAGTTATATGCTATTTGTATTACCATATTTTTTTTTACATAGGGGTGTCACACACAAAAAGACCATTATTGAATATTGTGAAAATAAAATTAAAAAAGCAGCATCAAATGAAGAAATGATCGATCGTGCTTCGTATATACTTTTATATGAATTAATGATAATGTTGATTCAACAAAATGGAGTAAGATATATTTTTTCAAATGTAAACACCATTAACTATCTTTGCCTATCCAAAGATTAATAATCATATGTGTTTTTTCAGAATGTTGTTGGAGTTGATATAGCAGCGTTATTACTCAGAAATAAAGACGCATATCCGTATGATATAAATAAGCAAAAATCTCAGGATTCAGGAAGAAGAGAATCGGTAATATCTCAAAGATCGGCTGTTTCAGTTGGAGATGGTATTCAGGGTAATCAAGATGGTACAATAATATCTGAAAAGATTGAAAGTAAGCCACGGAAAAGCATTGAACAAATAACAGATGAGTTTAGAGACACCCTGCTTTACGGCTTAGTTCAGGAAGCATTAGGTAAACATATGTTCATATTTTTTATTTGATAAGTTAATAATCTGTTTAAGTTTTTAAAATTATACTATTTTTAATATGCAGAATATGCAATGAATGAAGGTCTTTGGGGACACGCACTCTTCTTAGCCAGTAAATTAGATAAACGTACGCACGCATCTGTAATGACACGTTTTGCTAATAGTTTACCATATCACGATCCATTGCAAACTTTATATCAACTTCATTCTGGTCGTGTGCCAGCTGTTGTTACTGGTATATCGGATCCTCGGTGGGATGATTGGAGGCCTCATTTAGCAATGATTATATCGAACACATCCGCTAATCCGGAAATTAATCGTCGCTCAATTACAACTCTTGGGGATACACTTTCCGCTCGTGGAGATATTTATGCAGCTCATTTTTGCTATATACTTGCACAAGTTGATTTTGGTACCTATGGAGCAAGTAATATAAAGCTTGTATTGATTGGTGCAAATCATCATAAATCCTATAATGCATTTCTTACAACGGAAGCTGTTATGCTTACGGAAATATATGAATATGCTAGAAATCTTAGTGAACCAGGTTTTACGTTGGTAGATTTACAAACCTTCAAGTTTGATTTGGCAATAAAAATGGTGGATCATGGATTAATTGAAAAAGCCTTACTGTACATAGAACAAATTGCAGTAAATATTTTCAACGAACCATCGAAGTACAAAAAATCATTTATTAATGCCGTGTATAATTTAGGAGATAGAATTAGGTATCACGATCCTGTTTATAAAGATTCTATCGATGAAGCTACAACTTTAACTTGGTTTAATAATCTAGCTGAAATTGTTGGTAAATGCCATGTAAGTATAAATAGAAGATAAACATTATAAATTTTATTTTATTTTATTTTATTTTATCGGTATAGAAAAGGAGCTTTTGCTTTGTTATAGATTGGAGAAATTACCGAAAATGAAATTTATGGTTCCCAAACAAAACCAGAATTATATAATAACACGCAAAATCAGGAGGCGATGAACGAATCGAAGCAACAACAGCCGTGGAGCAGGATTCAGTCTGAATACAGAGAAGGTCCAACATCGATGATGGAAGTACCTACAGCTGATACTCAATCAGAATGGCAGCCATTATCTCTGCCATCCAATATACCAGATACATATGATCAAAGTATGCAATACACAAGGAATAACGAGGAATCTTGTCAATTACAACAATCCCAACAGCAAGATTATTGGAACCAAGAGTCTTATTATCAAAGTAACTATGGAAGAAATGACAGTACCATCACAAACTGGCAACAGAATTCAAATCATCCTTCATATCCGCAAGAACAAAGTGACATTGATGATTCTCAACGACAAGAAAAATGGAACTATGAGGTAAATCAATTGTTCTATAATATAATAATATGTGATTTTAATTATATTCGTATAGTGTGTATTGTTACATACATACTTTCATTAAATATTCAATAGTACACTTACTATCATCACTTTCGCCCATATATTATGTATTAAAATATTTTGTGTTTGATTTTTTTATAGAACAGTATTTTTAAATCTTTTAACAAATCGAATTTATGTATAGAAATAACATTTTTTTTTACCATTCTTTTTTTTTGATGCTTGCATATGGACAGACGGAAAGGGAAGAAAAAACACCTACCCTTGAAGTAAGTAATTACACGCTTACTGCGGATAGTAATCTCGATCCTGAATGGTCATTGGATGACACCAATGTTAGCTCATTACGACGACGCAAAGTATTAACAGATTCAGATCGATGCGTCACCCCTCATTCTTCCGATTCTAATATTAGTATTTCTACCGGTACATCGTCAACTTCTAATCCTTTTAGATCAACTAATTTTGACGGAAAATCTGTAAAATCACGAAAAACGATAACATACCCTAAGATCACAACAGCTTACCCAAAAATCTTATCTAATAATACAATTCATTTGAAAAATGTTAAAATAAAAAAAATAGATGGTAGATACGTGAGACCGCCTTCCTCGAAGCCGCCTGTATTCTTAAAATGTAAAATTAAAAAGAAAATAGAAAATAACGAAAATAAAAATTCTGACGATGTAGATGAAAATAGCTTAACTTTATCGGCAACTACTGATTTAGATATTCAATTTAGCAAAGTAAATTTTAAGTCCCTTTCTAGGCTTGATACCAATTTAGAAAGCAAGTCCCCCATAATGTGTGAAAATACAACGCAGACTTTGAAACAATATTGTAATTTTGAAAACAAGAAAGTTATGAGAATAGCTCCTCATATTCGAAGGAAAGATGTTATTTGCGATACAGTAGATGCATGGTCTTATTCGAATTCTTCACAAAGTTCCACTGAATTGTGTCGGTATAAACCACTTATATTTGGTGGAACATACCCCATAGATTTACCAGTCAGACCTACAAATAATCTTTCTTTAACCGAATTCAAAGACGTTCCTATGGCAAAGTCCATCACTAAAACTTATGATATCGATGTTCCCACGAATTGCGAGTAGATGGTGTATTAGGTTTCTCGACATTAAAATTTCAATGTCATTGTACATCTGTAGTTGTATTTGCAAAACATGTTAAGTTACTTTCGTAAGTCAATTCTTCCGCTTATAATATAATATTTCCTATTACTAATATGTTATGTTATTAAAAGGCATGAGTAATTAAAAGAGATATTTGATACAAAGTGATGAAACGTGGTTATAGAATTTATCCTTGTTTTAGATGTCATTTATGTACATAAATTTGTTAACATTAAATATACAATAAAGTTTCCCATGTTATTCACTTTTCTGAATTCTTAAAAGATGCGCCTCTTTATTATTCGTTGCAAATAGACGTTTAGTTTATAAAAAATATTTTACTTTATATCGATTATAAATTTGCAAGCAAAGTTCTTCACTACTTACTGTGGTAGTTAAGTATAAAATATTATATGAAAGAAATTATTTGTAAAGTATGTTAAATATACAATAAAGAATGTATATTTACACTAGTGCAGTAAACAGTGATCAACTTTGCTAGAACAACTTTGCGATGATGAATTATATACTTTATTTCAGACGGCACAACCGGCAATTTCAATGACACCGTCAACGAGAAAGCAGTATGATCCGTTGGAAGAATTGGATGCACTCGAGACTCCGAAATTAACTCCGAAACCTGCAGCTTCAGCGAAAAAAGTTTCAGAGAAGCCAGCCGAAAAGAAACCTTCTAATACCGGAAGTTCTTGGTTCGGCGGTCTTTTTAGCAAACTTGCTCCAAAACCAAGAAACCAGATGATTCTACCAGATGATAGTAACCCAACGGTAAGATGTTACAACATATTTAATTATTTATAGATTATTAAAAGACTACGATAGTTGGTTTTATGTTTTTTTATCGCTTAAGGGCTCACGCGGGTACTTATGGTAATTTTGACGTCTTTTATGATGGAAGAGGAAAAGGCCAGTATAATTCAATGTTCGGTTACTTAATTAACAGCTAACGAATTATTGATATATTCTGGCTTAACATTTCAACTTTCGTTTCTAACACATAAAAGTAAAGTAAATAGTGAATCATTTATTGTGATTATAATATTATTTGAGCCCTGTAATTTAACATTTTTGTATAAACTAAGGTATTAGTTTGAAGTGTTTTTTCGCATAAGCAAAGAGGATAATATTTATATCGAATCCTGTTTATTTTGAAATAGATTGTTTGGGATCCCGTTGCTAAAAAATGGATGAATAAAGACGACGATGGAGAGAGTAATTCTAATGCGATAGCTCCACCCCCAAAAGCTTCTGACATGGAGTTTAGAGCACCCGTGCCGGAACAAACTTCTCAACCATCTCAACCTTCTTTACCAGCTGATGAATCTTCTGTGAATAAATTTAAATTGCCTAGAGGTAGAAGTATGCGTGCCAATTATATAGATGTAATGAATCCAGGAGGCTTGAAAAATAGCGTGGCGTCCTCAAGTATACCAACTCCAGTAACATCTCCAATGGTACCTATGGCAGCTTCATCACCTCAGTTATTTATTCCTGCTCCAGGTATGTTTTTGATATCTTCTAGAATTCTTTAAAGTTTGATTAATTACATTGTGTATTCTTTTAGTTAATGATTCAAGTGCCCCTGTAGACTTCTTAACTCCAACGGTAACATCAGTTGCACCTACGAATGTTTCCGAAAATATATCTCAAGGGGTAAGTTTTTTCTTATAATGAACAATAATGTTTGCAAACTTCCATGCACATACAGCCATTCCTTATTATCACAAACATACAGACATTAACAATACAGTTTCATGTGTATATTTACAACCTCTGATTCACTGTACACAACCCTTTTATTATCTTTATGTCATGGCTGCAGTATGCTGGTATGCAGCTTCATTGTACTTTAAACCTGTCTCTGGAACTGTAATGTTAAAACATTTCTTTCTCGCAGAATTCTTTTACAATTACATTTGTAATAACAATTTGTACATACCTTCCCTTTATGTAAATTTGCCCTAGTTTTGTGCATTGTCTATTTATCCAAAAATACCTGTTGTCTTTTTAAATTAACTCCAATTTTTGTATGTACAGTATATTTATATAAAAATTATACATATTTTTGATTATTTAAATTATACAAATGGAGAAAGGTATAAATGCGTGAGTAGGTTTCTTTTTCTTATCGGAAATTAAACAAAATTATGTTTGTTATTTGGTTCTCATTTAATAAAAGAAGTCATACGCTTTTGATTTTAACATTCATTATACTAAGTAGATTTTCCAAGATTACAATAGTCATTCTTTTTCTCGCAAACCTGTGTTTAATCGACCTTTCTTTTTATGTTTCCTTTGCAAGCAGTCGGGGAGGCAGAATGATGTAGCCAAATAATAATTGTTGCTGATAGTAAGAACTATTTTATTAATTTTATACATCGTTCTTCATTATTGTATATGCATGGTTTGTGATATTTATTTAGTAGCATGGGTAATAATATGAATACTATGTGTTTGTTCAACGCAACGAGTTCTGATTATTTACGATGTTGCGCCACTCCAACGAGAAAAGTTACAGTGAGGATGACAAAGAGGATAGTGTAGAAAACGCGAGTATACTTTTTGGAAAGCTAGTTTTTAATACTTGTTTGCCTATTGTCTTCTTTTTCTTGAATTTTTTGTTCTCTTCATTATTTTATGTTCCTTTAGATTTTTTTCTTTTGCATGTATACAATTTTTTGGTGGCAGTGTATAAGGCAGGGTTATTTAATTTCACAGTCTAACATGTGGTACAGGACACTAAAATAATGCACTTATATTATCATTTTCAGCATGGTTTATTTTTGCGATTGGACGGTATACTTATCATAGAGAACATCGCATTTTTATACATGACAGTGCTTAGAGATTTGCAATACCGATCATTTCTTTTTCTGTTACTCTATGTCTATTTTGCTGCTTTTTATCTTTTCCTCTCTACGGATAATTTATTAAAAATTCGGATAATTTGCCATCAAGCAATTTGTTGTATGCTTTACGATGAAAATGGTCGGTGTTACATCCTCGCAAACTTTGATACCTAATCATAGTAATAGAACGAGAATTCGGTTAGTGAGACAAGATTGTTGTGTTGTATATGGCACACAGTTCTCTCGATGGAGCTCAACCAGCTCGTTATCGCGAGAGGTGCAGAGCTACACTATGAGGGATCCGCGTTTCCTCCCACAGAACAAGGTAATCCAGTGGCATTAAACATTTCTCATTCCAGAGGTGATATCACTTATAAATACTACTCAACGATACACGGTAGAAACTCTAACTTATTTATTATAGTGCTGTATTCTATAACAAATTTATAATTACAAAGTATATTTTTTTTTTATACAGTTCTTACAAGTGGAAAGATTCCTGAGTACCTTCTATGGCAGAACAATTAATAATTCTGACAAATCAGTTTCAACTCAGAAATTTTTTCACACGTGTAGGATTATTTGAAATATATTCTACACCTGCAATAGATTTAAGAAGATATTTTTTCATAAATCACAGTCATATAGCTTTTGCCTTTAAATCAAGCTTAAGTTCATTGTGTCGAGCACTTTATTTTCATGAAATTTAAATGGCAAAGCTATGGGAAAGCTTGGTGAAGGATGTATTTATGGTTTTGGTCTCGCGGTGTATGTGTTATACGTTAATTGCGAAGCTTACATTTTACGCTTTGCACCAGATTCAATTATGTAAGTTCTAAACTATAAACGTAACAAAGACATAGAATCGTTTAATTCATAATTATTCGTTTTGGAAATGTTGCAACATTCGTTGCGTTTATTAACGTATATAAACGTATATTATCTTGAGTTGACATAATTTTGTTTTAGGTGAAATCGCATAAGAATAGAACAATAAATTTTGCGAGATTTACGATATTTTTGTTTATCCTCTGAACCTGATGTAATTTATTTTTCAACAAAATGATGATCTTTAGGGACCAATGATGTACAACCCCAACGATGTGAAGGATCGTTCAATGAAGAATGTACAGCAGAATCGGTATCCTCCGCGATAAAATTTGCAAGATTTTCAACAACATACATATTTGCTGATGAGTAACCAGAGAAGATTTTTCGTTCTATCAGGATTCACGTTATTGACATGAATTGAAATTTCCACATATTACACAGGCAAACATACCTCAAATTACGTAAGTGAATACTAATAGATGCATTATAAGTTTTAGTCAAGTACACATGAATTTCCAATTTCGATTTTGCAAAGATCAATTTAGTTTCTTTAGAAATTAAATACTTAGAGAATACACATGTATGTATGTACCTTAAGCGTATAATTGCTTCTACACGGTATTACGAATATCTGGAAAATATTGCAATTTACAACAAAACAAAACAAAAAAAAAAGTTTAATAAGCCGTTAGTGTTAAGACGATTCGCTGTTTGTGTTTCTTAGTTTCTATTTTGGAGAATACACGCTCTACTCACTGTTTGATCGGATTTCATTAAGTATATACAGGGTACTTGTTTTGTAAAATCAGTTTTTCTCATGGAATGTTTTTTAACTAGCTCGATATACATTCGCGCGAATAGATATTTTTATTCTATCGTATAGTTCAATACTTCGATACGATTCAACCCATTTGCAAGTAATGCTCTTTCCAACGATTTGAATTTCTAACCAATGAAATATTCATTGCCCATATTAAAGCGAATGGATTGAATGCTTTCATCGTGATGTTTCAATACGATTATGTCGAATCAGATAAAGCTGAGAATTCCAATGATAAAGAAGTAATCGAAAAAAGTATGTGTTATGTTGAATGAGATAGTGAATGAGGAGAATGTTAATTTTGCGCTCGTAATAGGACTCGCGTTTAAGTTATGCGCAAATAATCTTTTCCGAAACGTGTTCCACGAGTATAACGTTAATTGTAATGAGAATAATGTTAATCGTATTATCGGCATTATGGAAGAATTTGTTACAGTCTAGGAGTATGGTAATACACAATCGAGTCTGATTTTATACGCTGGCGGGAAACAGTTATTGCATAGAGAATGAAGCAGATATCAGTAATGTAAGAAATGTTAGAAATCTGAAAATTTTATGGATCCTATTGTTAGGCGATATGTCATACAGATATATACTGTTATTATTAATCGTCAGGCTAGTATATCATTATACCAACGATATATATTAATAAGAATCATAACTGCCATCTATCAATTGAATTCGAAATGATTGGCAAAATGCTTTATATAGAATTTCCAATCTTCCTTCATAATTGTTCTAGGTATTTCCTTTCTTTTCTTTTTTCCCCTAAAAATAGTTTTCTCAACGTTGTATATATCAATTATTTACGAGCCTAATATGTTACAAACACATATTCCCGTTTATCTTCTTATCTTACCTAATCTTATCAAATTTGACACTTTATTTTTTGCTTTTCTTGTTACAAGCGAATTCACACGTTTCAAACTTTAGAATTTAGACTTTCTTTATTACATGGTATAATGACATTTATCGCTTAAAAGAATAACCATAAATTGCACTATTATTCCAAGTTGCTGATATTTGTAGATACGTGCTAATTTGTAAATTGCAGCGTCCATACGAACTATACGCGTTTTTCTTTCAAGAAAAGTGCATAGTTCGTGTCTGGAATATAAGAACGTTGGTGCTGTCAGAGCTTTTCGCAAAATGTTTTGCGAATAAGCAAATGCGCTTCTATACAAAGATGTTATTTCGCGTTTTTCTTTTTACGAGCGTAATACGTTTATTCAGAAAATCTATGTTCCTCTCGGTGATCGCTTTTGATGATATATATTCCATATTATATTTTTCGCGAACATTACCGAGGGAGGCTCGTTCTATTACACGTGAGCCAAGCGATATAGCGATATAAGTGAATTTGGCAACTTAACGAACAAAGGATAATATTCGCGTAATGTACAAACGTAGGGTAAGCCTTATAGATTGGTTTTTCATTTGACGTCCAGCGTTTTGTGATAGGAGTGCAATCGAGAGCAAGAAGTCACGTTACGAATATGATTAAACGAGCGTATTCAAAATACAACGCGTATCCGTTGATAAAGAAAAAAAAAAAAGAAAAATATAGAAGAAGAAAAAGAAAAGACTTTTTATTCCATTAGTGTCCGTAATTTCCATAAAATGACCGGTCCCGAGACTGCTCAAAGGAAAAGAAAAGATACAAAGAGAGAAATAGTTCCATTTCATATTATATGAAGTTACATTCTTTCCCGCCATTAATCACAATTGGAGTGAAACTGGTTTTGTCAAGTCTTGTAAAATATATTAGATTATTCGGTTTTATACTTGTGACATGATAATGTGCTTTCGAAACATATATGTTATAGAATATTATTATGTAAAACGCGTCTTCGTGTACGTTACATGTATATACGTATATATAGATATATAATGAAATTTATGATTTGTAAATATATAAACATAAGTCTCTTCGAGAAATATAACAAATTTGCATGTTGGTACGTTACATAGAGCTACTTGCCGAATTATCCTTTTCACGTGGATGCCATTAAATGAAATCCAAGTAATTCACTGTTACGTTCTAGTTCGAAAGGCAATATCAAAATCAGAATAATTCTTCTTGTGAAAAATGGCATTAATGTGCAAATTATGCGTTCTGATTACGTCATTGTTAGAAAATTATCGTCTATCTGAATTTCATTCCAAACTGTTTTTAATTAAATATCTAATTTTGTTGAGCTAGTTTATGTATTTCAATCATTTATTACGATCGACATATTTAGCGAAATTAAAATTTCACGTAGTATCAAAATTCAGTCAATTTTTATGAATTTTTCATTCATTTCTTGTGTAGTGTATTAGTCAAACATTGTTAGTGAATGATTAACGAGCATTGATCTGTTATTTTAATGTATTATGTTATTCGATTAATTCACTCGAAAGTTTTCAGAGGTAATATTTTCAGTAAAATTATGAACATCAAAAGAAAGTTTTAATATAAAACGTTAAAGCTTAAACAAAAGTATTAATTGAACTGTACGTAATGTGTGTATAGGATGGTTTATGAATGATGCGATTTTGGCTTAATGTAACATATTACGATTTGTCTTTAATGCACTTTACAATTGAAATGTCAATGTATGTTTATGGGAAATACGGATAATAAGATATGTATACTGTATATTAATATTACTACTATCCCTATTATCATTGCTATTATAATAAAGTATGATACAACTTATGAATCTTGATAGTTTGTAAATCTGCCTATTATTGCGAGATAGTTCTGTCAACAATTTCGCTTTCTGAATTTCAGAGTCGATTTAAAACCATTTCAAACTATTTCAACTATTTCAAATGTTCCCGCGTATTCCGTGTTCGATCGGAAAAACTAAAATCCGCTTTCATAGTAATGCTGATAACGCGTGAACTTGTGATGAAAACTCTACAGTTTTTAAATATTTACAATCATTATATTTTAATTCATTAAAAAACAAAATGTCTGCAGGTCGTGGTGCTTTAATAGTATTAGAAGGATGTGATAGAGCAGGAAAATCCACTCAAGTGAAAATGATAATTAGTGCTTTGAATACAAACAACATTCCCGTTGAATCTAGATGTTTTCCTGGTAAATATAAACAGCTTTAACCATATTTTATAAATATAAGTCATCTAAGTCACGTTATTTTATGTACATGTTCTCAAATATATGTAACTTTCTATATATTTATCTATATATAACCTCATCAAATGAATATTAAGATCATCAATATTCAGTTCTATACTTGCAGATAGAACAACTCCCATTGGAGCAATAATAGATCAGTTTTTGAAAAATAAACAAAAATTCCCTTATGAAACAATACATTTGTTGTTTTCTGCAAATCGTTGGGAATGCAAAGATGAAATTTTAAAGACTTTGCATAGTGGTACTACCATTGTTATTGATAGGTAAGTAAACAAATTTTTGTAATAATTGCAAGATAAATATTGAAATATAACTGAAATTATCATTGTAGATATGCTGGTTCAGGTGCAGCTTATGGGGCAGCTACCACTAGCCAATCTTTAAATTGGTGCAAACAACCAGATAAAGGATTACCTTCGCCAGATTTAGTCATTTATCTTAATGTTAGCAGCGAAACTCTGTCTCTACGTAATAAGTGGGGAGATGAACATTTTGAAAATGAAGAACTTCAACAACTTGTTGCTTCTAATTATAAGAAATTAATAGATAAGACATGGTACACAATTAATGCAGATAATGATATATCAGTTATACATTCCCAAATATTAGAGAAAGTATTAAATGTTATAAGTCATGTTAAAGATTTACCTGTAGGTGAATTATATCAGTAAATAAATAGGTAGGTAAAATTATCAAACTGCTATTTCTTTGCCAATTTTAATTATTTTGTACATATGTTCTAAAGAGTATTAAAAATGATCAAAATCATTAAGGTAGTAGTAGTTTGATCATTTTACTCTCAAGTATTATCAATATTGATATCAAGCATAATAAATGTTAGTCATTTAAAAAATTAAATCGGTTATATAAGATACAATCGGTTATAAATTGATTAAAAGATACAGACAGTTTCTCCGATTTCGATGATTTTTAGACATATAAAAATTATATTTTGATCAATTTTTTCCTATGTATATATCGCTGCTCGACCTTAGTTTTCGAAATATTTATCAGAATTTATTGTTCTTACTATCACCTGGATATAGTTGACATTTACACTCTTGTATAATGAATGAATTTAAAAATCAAAATAGATTTTATTGGTTTCAACTTATGTACGTTACTTTTTTTTGCATAAGTTGATAATCTGTAACTTTACTATAAAATGTGTAACAAGAGAAAATTTGTACAAATAAATTACAACTTTTAAATAATAAGCGTGCATCACTTTTTTAAATTAATTGTACATATTAAGCGTTTTTATGTATACCGATTTAAATTGAATTGAGAAAACAGAAAAATGGTAATGGGGGCACTACTAAGTGTGCACTATATTCTATCAACAACAAATGTGCGACGACTATGAATTGCTACAGCGACATTGGAAAGCGTCATAAATCGTTCAATATCACGTAAGTACATGTGACTTACAAGGAGAGTGCAAGTCCTTCGAGCCACCGATTTAGTTGAAACTTTACAGGTTTATACATTTCGTGATGCAGTTCAAGAATATATATTATTGTAGCCGCAATTACTCAATAATTTTTAAGATATTTACAATTAAAATTTTATTACGATATTTAAGTATAGATTTATTTTCAACAGTTTTTAAATAGATTCATGGTGTAACGGCGACATTTAAGAATTCCTATGCTGAAGGCCTAGGGTTCGATTTCCGTCCATAGCTGGATAGCTTTTTAATTTATTTTTTATTTTGTATTCATTTTTCGCCTCTGTAAACATTGTAAATAAACAATTGTAAATAAAATTTCTTAATAAAAAAATATTACGCTTTCTTATGTAAGTATATAATTATTACAAAATAATAAGAATATTATGCAACAATAACACTTTTCTATAGCAATCTTATTTAATACAAGAAATACAAAATCTATCGCTCATGTAAGTATTAATTATCAAATTAAACATTGTATGAGAAGGTTGCTTATAATTTCAACTTTGACGTGCAACTATAAATGTTCATGAATTAATTACAAAAACTTGGAAATTTATTAATTTTCTACTGCCGATTGCAGCATTGTTGTGTGCACGTAAGTGTACCTGCATCATGCAAAAGAATGTAAGTCTTTGTATTAATGTAACCTTCAGTCGTAATTAAATCTTGTAAGTTATGAGCCATTATTTTTTCACCTTTTATTAATGATAGTAGAGTTTGATTGAGAAAAGATAATATTCTGTTGAAATAAACAGGCACGTACAACAGTAGAAAAATATTGGATTCATGGAATGCCACCAAGATCATCATAGATGCCAAGAATTATATTTTATAGCGAGAAAAAATGAAAGCAGCAATACAAATATGTTATGATATGTCTATTGAATTCTAGGTTGGCTAAGCATATAACACACAGGACAGAAATCTTTGTTCAAATAAAGATTCAGAATATGGAGATGGTTTAGGCAG